TCTTATACCATGGGCAGCAATGGCTTCCGAAGTCTTTGTGATCCCTGACTTGTCATCCGTCCATCTTAGAATACATTTCTGAGGCTATGTTAATGGCCGATGACCCTTCTAGGTGTCATGTGGCATTTGAAGATGGACCAGACAGAGACCCTGTCTTTAAAGAAATGACTGGCTACACCAGACCTCAGGAGGATAACAAGTTCAAGATCTGCCATGGCTACAGAGTGAGTTCAAGGCTACCCAGGGCTACTTATCAAGATCCTGTCTCAAAATAAAAAATACAAAAATGGCTAGTAGAGCTCAGTGATAATATGTTCACTTAGATGCATAAGGCTCTGGACTCATTACCCAATACTACTGTATTCTCTCTCTCTCTCTAAAGGAAAAATGACAAATAGAAATAAAACATAAAGGTAACCTGCATGCATTATAAAAATGTCAAATTCCAAATAGATGCATGCAAACTTTAATAAGTTGAAATGCTGGAGATTTTTAGGCCACGGATAATGTCAGGCATGGAAGTAGCCATTGCAAGCAGGCAGGATCTGAGCCTGGCAGTTCTCAGACACTGAATATGCACATGGCAGCCTATCTGCAAAGAGGGATACAATAGGGTAGATGAATTTCTGAACACTGAATGACCAAGAGAGGGGGAAGACATCACCTCACACTAGGAGAGGAGGAGACAGAAGGACAGGTTAAGGCTCACAAAAGTCTGATCAATGTGTGAAAGTGTCTTTTCACTGAAATACATCATGTCAGGGGAGGAAATGGCTCAACTCTTAAACCTTGCATCCCGTGAGAAAACTCATTCCCATCTCTCTTTCATGGAACCCAGAAAAATCACTCATCTTTCCTTCTATCTGCCTGAGCCTGAAGGCCTGGTCATTTGAGCCTTGGATCTGACAGCCCTAGATAGGTCAAATGGGGAGACCCATCTCTGTTGAGAGATTGGCTTCTGGCCATGTCACTCAACCAAGAGAATGTTCTTTCTGTAATTAAAGGGAGTTAACTCCCAACGAATGTTTGTTCTATTTGTCCTGAGTTTGTTTCCTATCTCCCAGGATATTTCAGAAGCCACTCCTTATGGTCTGAGCTACAGGGCTAATTTATGTCTGTTTGTTCTGGAGCCTGCAATCCAATCCTCCCTCTCATGAAGATTTAACTTCAGAGATTTGGCCCTTCAAAGAGACAAGTCCTGGTTGGTCCTGCCCTGTGTCTATGGCCATCAGAAGAACTCACTGCTGTCTTTCAGGGAGCTTCAGGGACCTTTGGATATGCTGGCTCTGCTTATTTTTTCCATTCCACTGTTTCTGGGTAGACAGTGGCTCTCCCTGTGACCTGAAACTGTTTTCTTACCACTGGCCTGTTCTTTCATGGGAAGGCTCTATGCTCTTTTTCACTGTTCTAGCAGACACAAGGCTTCCACTGCCATATTCAGAGCAATTATCACAGCCAGCAGGCTCTTGGGGCTCACTGATACTCATGGAGGAGCAAGCTGGTTCCCAGGGTGAACTGGGACTTGGCTCTTGCAGTGGATACTGTCATACTGAGTACAGTGACTGTCACACAAATAATGCTGAGAGTCAAAAATCAGAATGACCCTGAGAACAATGCCAAGGTCGGAATAGTAAGAGATGGTGTTGGGCTATTTCCCAGGAAGCCTGAGTTTAAAAGTCCCATATCATTGATTTCTAATTATACCCCTTTATCAAACATGTTATGTACTGACCAGCCTTCCCCATTGGCTGGATTATAGACATTTAGATAAACTTTCTCTAGTGTTCAGACCTATTTTGCACAGACAGCACATGTCTATGAATATTTTAGGATTCAACTAATAGAATGACTGTTTCTAGGGAGAGAAAAAACACATGCAGCATGCTATAAAATACAGTAATGATTAGGCCCCCCAAGAAAGAGAAACCAAGGAATTAAAGCTCAACTGCACTAAATCCCAAAAGAGAAAGCACAATAGGGATAAATTAGTTGAAAAGCTCACAGTAATTTTGCCTATACCTTGATTTTAGCTATATTTCCAGGGCAGATAAAGAAGTGATTTGAGATGACAGAATAATTTCCAGGAGACATGGTCAGGTGAGCATTCTGCAAAGACAGGTACAGATCAGGGAAGAGTGGAGAACATGTAGGGAGCACTGCGTGCTTAGGAAGGATGAGGGTATTTCAACACAAGTGGGAAGAAATCATTACTAGCTGAAGCCACTTATCTTTATGTACCAGATACCAGAAGTACTGGTGACTTCAGAACAAAGAAATATTAACAGCCATCTCAAGCTCTACTATAGTTTCCTCATTGGGTTCATTCCACCTTCGACAGATGGCCTTCCCCTTGGGGATTTTGTGTGTGCAACCTGCTCTGCATGGACCTCACCCCACCAAAGACAGCCTTATGCATAGCTCATTCCTAACATTCAGGTACCTGATTCACTGTTTCCTCCTCCAGCAGAGGAGCCTCTCTGGCCTCTGTCTCAAAGGTGTTCACTCTCTCCACATCACTTTTTCATCTACTAATGCATTTTACTTTCTAACAATACTTACAAGTTATTTTACTTAAATCGTCGTGGTTTATAGTTTGCCTTCTCCCAATCTAATATAAACCTAAGCACAACAAGCAAATGTAGCAGGATTATGCATACTAGAATGGCTGACAAATAGGTACTGATTAATTCTACACACACACACACACACACACACACACACACACACATTGCACTATCAAACAATTCACTCATACAAAGTATATACTCCTTGTTGGGTATTTTTTGTCAACCTAGACATACTTCGAAAGAGGGATTCTTAATTAAAAAAAAAACAAAACACCTCCATCAGATTACCCTGTAGGCAAGCCTGTAGCACATTTTCTTTTTTTAATGATTGATGTCGAAGTGCCCTGACCACTGTGGACAGTGCAGCCCCCAGACAGGTGGTCCTGAGGTGTACAAGAAAGCAGGCTGAGCAAGCCATAAGAAGCAGGCCAGTAAGCAGTGTTCCTCCATAGCTTCTACTTCAGCTCCTGCCTCCAGGTTGCTATTCACTCAGTAACAGAGGGTGAACTGATAGCTATAAGATGAAATAAACTCTTTTCTCCCCAAGTTGCTTTTGACCACTGGGTTTTATCACAGCAGCAGAGACCCTAACTAAGATATACACTGTCCACTGGTTTTTCCAGAGATATTGAAAAGGAAAGTACCACTACACATAGTACCAAATGACTGTAAATCCCAGCACTTGGAAGGTAGGGTCAGGAAGATCAGGAGTTCAGCATTGTCCTACATTGTGTCTGAGGTCAGTCTGGGATATTCGAGCCTCTCTCAGAAGCCAGAGAAAGGACAGAGCAATCAATTAAAAGACATTTTGATTAGCATTCCTCATCAACAATTCCCTTCTGCTTCAACAGATTTGTAAATGTGAATTTTGCATAAATAGAATAATATGACTTGTCATTTAGCATAGCACTCTCAAGGTTCCTATAACAAATCCTAAGTAGTCTACCCTTTCTTTTTTTCTTAGAAAGCACTAGAATTTATAGTGGCTAGCCCTACCATCCTCAACATACACATGTGCTCACATGCATATAGGAGTGTGCATGCACACACACACACACACACACACACACACACACACTCACACTCACTATCAGTACAGATAGAATAGTCTGAGTGATGAGAGAGAAAAGATGGAAATTGGCTGGGTAGTTTAGATTACAAAAAGTCACTGACAAAGCCCTGGAAAATGGCCATGTAGCTAGCTCTGTTAATTCCACCCACTCTTTTTAGTCATTACTGAAAAAAGCCTAACTTTTTATCCATTTCAGTCTTTCTTTCAGATAATGGCCAACATCTAAGCGTGTTTTCTACCGCACTTCAGACCTTCTTACTCTTCCTCTGAAGCTATCCATCTTCCATTATACATGTGCTGCCAACCACATGGCTGCTTGCTGACCTCAGTGTTCAGGAAACTGAACATGCCAACCTAACTCAAAAGACATGAATTGCTTCTTCACTTCTTCCTCTGTATACTCTCCCACAATGCCCTTCAACACATACTCTACAACTGCCAAGATTTACAGCTTGCCTGACCTGCTGTTTTCTCCCAAACTCTAATAAAAAATGTCTTTGAGCTTCTCCTGAGTCCATTTTTAAATTATTTTATTAATAAAAACTAATCCCAAAGAGGGGACCTTAATTTCCTCAGTAATGCACGGGTACCAAAGCAGGGGCCCTAAACCTTCCAGTAACACCAGCCTAAGCAAGCAGCACCCTGCTAATTTTGCCTCTATGGATAGCTGCCTGCAGTGTTAAAGGCTCTGGGGATTATCTCCTCTCCCTGCACTCTATTCTAACTAGTGTGCATGACCAAGCTTTATTTTGGTCGAGAAACTTCAATTAGGAAAAAAAAAAAAAAAAAAACAAACAAACAAGGCACAAGCTTGGGAACATCAATATAAAGGGAATGCTATATTTTCTCAGCTGTAACAGCACGCAGTATAGAAAAATACAAGATCTTGTATGTATGAAAATTATAGCAAAAAAAATCAGCCTCCACCATTAAGTTTTTCTTTAGAGAGAAACTGATGGCTGTTACCACCCTCATCCTTCACACACACACACACACACACACACACACACACACACACACACACCAGGAAAAAGACAGAAAGGGGGGAGTGTGTATGTGAGAGAGAGAGAGAGAGAGAGAGAGAGAGAGAGAGAGAGAGAGAGTCTGGCTTATTGGGACACTGGGAAAACGATCAAGGAAAGACTTGCTTTTAATAAATCTGAATTTCAATGCTGGCATGGTATCCAAAATGTAATTTTCCCAAGAGAGAATTAAACACTCAGATAATGCACAGAAAATTACACTAGGAATTTAATGTTTCCTTTGTAATTCTAACTCTAAATTAACATACAGATTAACATACAAATGCAAACAAGATTAACCTGTTGTATAGAGCAATCTTAAAATGTCACATGTTATAGATCTTTTTTGACTCATAGGCGTGATGATTGGCTGTTCACTTCATTGTGTGACATTCCCTCCTGACACCTTGTTTTGATGTCAGTGCATTACCCATCTGACATGAAAAAGAAATGGTCCCATTTTATAAAAAGGACACTCTATAAATAAATTTAAAATCCATATCCTACAGGCAGTAAAACTTTGGACAAGAATACATAAAGCAATGTGTTCAGAACTCTGCTTCACTGTGCTACATTAAGTATATACATAAAGGGCAGGCTATGGGACCTGTGAATAAATTATAATTATCTATGATAATTCAGGGATGGAAAGCAGGCAATGTGACTACCCAAGCTGAGGTAAATTCTCTATGACATAATACTATTAAAGCGGGTATGGTAGAATATACCTGACCTGTAACCCCTACACTGGAGGCAGACAAAGGATCACTGGGAGTCTGAGGTCAGCCTAGACTCTATAAAGAGAAGCAGGGAATCCTGGACTCCACTGTGAGACCCTGTCTCTCAAAACCAAATGTTAATAGAGCTACTGCCTCCAAAATGAACCAGTCCTTCCTGAGGGGGGAAGAAGTGGCTCATAAGATTCAGGAAACTGATGAAACTCACAAGGCTCAGGAAACTCATGGAGTTAAACGATTCACAAAACCCTTCCACAAGTAGTAAGCCGTCAGAGGGAGGACTGCTCAGTCTGTGAGTTGTAAGGGGGCTTCAGGGATGCAGTTTTCCTAAGTGGTCATCATGCTAGGATGGGTGTTTTGGCAACACAGCTGCCTTTGAGTCTATACTCCTGCAAATAACACACACACACACACACACACACACACACACACACACACACACTCCTGCTCCTCTAAGTAACTCCGATGAACTCACTAGTTCCAATAAAGTAGATTTAAAAGAAAAGTTCCTTTGGTTTGTCACACATGCCCTACCTGGGGTAAAGAGACATTTGTTCATGTCTCCCCAGGAAAAGTCGTAACACCAAGAGAAAAAGTCAACTTTAACTATTATTTCTGGTGTTATGATCTCTGCGTACACTGTTTCTTCTATATTCAGTGTTCAATGCAATCCTTAGTTTTTAAGTCAAGTAAGAAACACACACACACACACACTGGGAGTTGAAAGCAATCATCTGTGTGTCTGTCTTTATCCCTTAAGTTGGTACAGGACCTGCAGTGCAAATAATAGCACCAGTAGTGGAAAGCAGAGATAATGCCTACGTGTATCCAGAGAGAACTGATAGGTGAGGCAAACTTTGCGTTTATCAGCCCAGTGGGTATACCAGCACAAATCATTCCAGTCCCCATCTTATCCACACTGATAACCCTTTCCAGTATCTCAGCCTCAACATATCAGTCCCTGCCAACCCACCAGCTCTCAGCTGTGCTCTCTCTGGCCACCCACCTGGGCTACACCTTGGATCTTATCATCAAACAGAACTGCTATAGAGAGAAGCTTATGAAAAGGCTCTGGGATGGGGCATATGGTGGCTCATGCCTATAATCCCATCACCAGAAGACAGAAGCAGGGACATTCCTCCAAGCTCCAGGCAGCCAGGATAGACAGAGACCCTGTTTCAAATAAACAACAAAACCACTCTAGAATGGCTCTAATCATTAGTTTATTGAACTAGCTGTCCTTTCTTTATTTTCTTTTAATTGACAGCACCACAGCCACACTGATCCTTTGTTACCTCTCCATCTAGACACTCTGCAACCATTTCAGATCAGTATTCGTATGTTCGGGAACCACTGCCCCCCCCCCCCGAGTTCCCTCTCACCTGGTAAATTCTACCTCTCTGACACAAAGCACAAAACGACGCAAAACCAATCAATGATTCATTTCTTTCACTTGTCTGCTTAATCAATACTTAGCTGAGCAATAAGTACAAGCCACAGATAACCATGCTGCTACTCGGAAATTCATTTTCAAGTGAATTTCTATCTTTGTTTTTTTTTTTTTTTTTATGAGTTTCCTAAAAATACTTCAAACACTGGAGCACGCAGTCACCACTTCCACACAGCCCCCACTGTTTGGTAGGTGCCCTTCGCCTGTTCAGCGGCTGATGTGGTCACAGTCATTCTACACAGCGCTTGCTTTCTGACACAACATGAGCACCTCTGGTTCTCCACTCACTTTCATTCCTGTGAGAACTCAGTGGCACCAGCATCTGTCTTTTATTTTATTTAATTAACGTATGTATGTATGTATGTATGTATGTATGTATGTATGTGTGTATGCATGTATGTATGTATCTGTGTTTCAAGACAGGGTTTCTCTGTGTAGCCTTGGTTGTCCTGGGCTCACTTTGTAGACCAGGCTGGCCTCGAACTCACAAAGATCTACCTGCCTCTGCCTCCCTGAGTGCTGGGATTACAGGTGTACATCACCGCACCTGGCGCTCTCTCTCTCTCTCTCTCTCTCTCAAATTTATTCCTCTACCTAAGATCTTTATGCCCCCAGTCTAACATGTCCACTATGCTTTGTGTTGTTCTGGATTCTGGGGACATGAATATAGAGAAGCACTGAACTGTGCCTAAGGAGCTCACTAGCTAGAAGAAAGATAAAGGTAGAAACGTGTGTGTGTGCGTGTGTGTGTGTGTGTGTGTGTGTGTGTGTGTGTTCACTCACACATGTGCATGTGTGTACACACAGGGTGGTCCTCATTTCTTTTCTAATCTCGAGCATGTTGAAGAGTGACAGCATCCATGAAGAGAAATTAATGGAGTGAAATGAGTTAATGGAGGTTAAAACAACCTAAAAATGATTCAGTGACATTTATTAATAATGTAACATGTGTCGGGTGCTGTTTTAATTAATCCTCACAGCAATCCTGTGAGGAGGAAATAATGTTATTATCTCCCTTCACACATGAGGAAACTGAGGCACAGGAAGCTTAGGATGATTGCTTAGGGTCCTCCAGCTTGGAAGTAATGGCATTAGCGTTCAAAGATCTTTGGTCCTCGATCTATGTCCTAACTGCAGCATCTTGGTGAGAAAAAGATGGAGGGAGAGGACAGGCAGACAGAAAAGTCAGAAGAATCAAAAGTGCAGGTAACGGCTTTGCACTTGCTCTGCACAGACTCGCAACCCAACTCCACCCCAATGTGAAATAGAGCATAGGCTAAGAACTCTGGAGGCCGCACATTACAACTCATCCCCGCCCTGCTGGCTCCTCTTGATAGCACATCTCACCACTGCAGGCCTAGGTGGACACATCTTTTCTTTCGGGACCTCTTAGAATGCATCTTCCTGCTCTGCTTTCCCCTTCACCCACCACCTTCCTCCTTTGCTCCCTAAGCGATGGCATCTCTCCATCTTTCTTTCACACTCCCCCTTCTCTGGCCACGTGTGATCCCTCAGCAGTTCATTTCCAGAGTGCACTTCCTTAAAATCTCCACAGTTCCTGCAGAGGTGGATGATGCCTAAAGTAGACCCACGGGAATCTTTACTTCTTTCCTGGGCTAAATACTCTCCCACCCATTGGATATTTCACTGTGCCTGTCCTTCTATATAGTGCAGATGAGCTCAGTTTTGTATGAAGTCTGAAGGCGGAAAGCTAGCTATTCAGAAACAGAGAGGAATGGCGGGTATCACAGATAAGAAGCAAGAGGAAATATATGCGTAAGTCAAAAGAGTAGAGTTATAGAAGATAAAACACTAAGGGATTATCTCACAACAGGAACGCTAAAGGAATAACACAGTAATACTTATTGAAAACTGACAGCTAGAAAGAGTAGATTTTAGGTACTGCCATAAAAGAAAGTAAGTAGGCTGAAGAGATGAGTCAGAAGATAACTGTGTGTTTGACTCTGGCAGATAACCCACGTTCAGTTCCCAGCACCCATGTTGGGATCTGTCAACCCTCTCCAACTTCAGCTCCAGATGACTTTGATGCCTTTGCCTTCTGCAGGCACCTGTACTCACATGCAAACACATTTACACAGGCACACACAGACACAACATTTTAAAAATAAAATGTTTTTAGCATATAAATTAATGAAGGGCGATGTGGAGGATGACAGATTTACTTGTTTCTTACTATGTGTGTGTGTATGTATATGTGTGTATGTGTAAGATATCTACACACACATACATATCCATATACCAAAGCGCACATCTATATATAGAGAGATATATACACACACATAATACTCATATACCAAAACATGACGCTGTATACCTTAAAACATACACTGAACAAATTCTTTAAAACTAAGGCTTGATCTATATTTCCCTCCTCAAAAAATGCTCCTGCAGATTGTCCAAATGGAACAAATGAGTCCACATTTCCCAGGTCCCCAGGCTATAACTGCAGTTGTCCTGACATTCTCCCTCTCCCTCAAACCGCACTTTCACTTAGTCACCAAAACCTACCTACAAGAACTTCCGAATCTTTCCCATTTCATTATTAATAACAACCTTTCTCATAACCTGCTTCTTCCAGTTCATTATGAATACTCCCCAGGCATGACTGGACCATATTAGGTGGGCAGGTCTCCACAGCTCCACTGAATGATAGCCGGGAGTAAAAAATCCCTAGTCCAAGAAAATATCTCACAACCCTTAGACCTGGGGAGACTGACGTGTTTGTTATAGCAACATGTTGTGCTGTATTCTCCCCTCAGAGAGCGTGGTAGAACTGATCACAGTATGTACAGTAAACATAGTATAGCTAATCCTCCCGGGCAGTGTTGGAACTAGCCTAGGCACTCATGGCCTTCTGTAACCATATCAGTAGTGGGGTCATTCCCTGGCTCACATCTGTTTTCTCTTATTCTAGTAATAGAATTTCATTTTCCTTTAGGGAACTGCCCCTCCCCGAATTTTGGACTGCTTAGCAGAGATCAACATTTCACTCACTTCAAAGCTAGACATGTGGCCCAAGATGACCCACCCATGAACCACTGTCCCCTTGGACAAAGGACTGGCCCAAGTAGGGTACATGACCCCACTTAATGATCAGAACACACTATCTACCTTCGGGGGGGGGGGTAGTTAATGCCACTGCTGGGTAAGAGAATTACTAAGACTCACATGATCTTTGATGCTTTGCAGAAAACATTTGTCTGAGAATGAAGCTAACATGGAGAAATGAAGA